AAGAGACACTGTTATATTTTTGGAAAATCAGTTGTTTATTTCTCAGTATCAGATCAATTGTGGGATTAAATTAACAGTGAATTATCTGACTGAAAGAAATCTACCTCGGTAGCCTGGGGCCGAGTTTCAAAATTAAATGTGAACATTGGTCTGAATTTTTAATATTTTCTTCATGTAAACCAGCTATTGAAATGTTGTTTTGTATTCAAATCAGGGCTCTTTTTGAATAAATGTAACACACCTACAGAGTGAATACCACTTGGTAATAATCTTAGAAGTAATAAAAACTGTTTAAAAAGTCAAATTAAAAATATTGTTCTAATAAATTTAAGGCTTCTTTCTATAGTTAAGTTCCAGATGATAGTTTGGAGACATATTCTTTTCAAACAGTCGTAAAGAAAGAAAAAAAAAAAAGTAATTTTGAGTGGCTAGGCCCTATGAGAAAGTTGTTTTAAAATAATCCTAACTTTTAAACATATACAAATGAATATTTTAAAAAATAGCATAAAATCAGAAAGGCTTAACATTCTAGAAAGTATGCTTTTCTGAGATAGAGGATTTACTGTGTAGCTATCTAGTCCTCCCCATTTTATAAAGACTTAGACAAGCTAATCTTGATTTCTTGTTCAGAGATATAAAGTAAATTTACTGTCTGAGTAGGTTTTAATGGTCTAAACATTCAGATGTGATACCGGGGTTTTGGAGTAAAATAATTATCATCTTTCTAGAGACATTCCTACTAACTTCCTAGAAAACATTATCAATTACAAGGAGACTATCTCTGACATACTCATTCCCAAAAGTCCTAAGCCCTGAAGTTCTTTCCAATGGCCTGGCATCCTGGGAATTCACTTGATCTGATGGGCAGAGACATTTCAAACTCGGGAACACATGATGAGAATTTAGTTTTATGTGTCCCAAAGATATGTAATTCTCTTTGGAGGTTTTACTTGATAATAGCTATGCCCCAGAAAACCATCTTGTTTAACCAATGTGATAAGTTGACAATGTAGTTTTTCTCTCTGATTATAATGTACTCTGTGTAGTCAATACACTGGTACCATGTGAGTGTAATTTCCTCTTTTATTTTATCTCCAATGCACTGTATTATAAATAAACAGTTAAAAAAAAACACCAAACAAATCTGTTGCATCTCCTTTTAAGATTGTACCACTGTAGACACTTGTTCTAGTAAAGTAGAATTGGGCACATTTGATTGCATTTAAATTTTTCATGCTTCAGCAGTTTGGCTGGGAGCACAGTAAAGAAAAATCCCATGAGCGAGGATCGTTTAGAATAATAGAACTTGATTTTGTGTATTATAGCAGCAACATTTGCGCTGCTTTAGTTAGGGTTGTGTCAGCACTTCCATTATAACCCCCTGTTTTCACAGGGTATAACTAGGGAGATTTTTTTTTTTTTAATACAAATTAAAAAAAAACAATTCATTTGAATGATTTTTAAGTTATAGTGCAAAAATAAAGCAAAGTAAAGTCACATGGAAATTGACCATTTTCACAAGAATTTTGTTCTTTTGCCTATTAGTTATACATGGCAGCAGCTAAAGTAAGATACCGTTCCAATGCGCTGGGGGGGTGGTGACATTTTTTGTAATGGAGAGTTGATGATATGAGCATGAAAAATAAAAGTAAGCATCTGATGTGACAATGTAAAACATTAAAAAGATGTGTGTTTGATTTATGAATTTCTAAAGAAGGGCAGCCACAGTGCAATGGTTATAGTAAAAGCATTACCAAGAGTCTTTGCAGCTTCTAGAATTCTGTGTAGTGAAATATTTCAAAAGGGGAAGTTAAAGTAAAGAAATGAAATGAATAAATATGTAATCAGTAAATTGAAGGACTCTTTAATAAAGTAATTGTGCAAAAAATAATCAGTAAATTGAATCAAATAATCAGTGAATCTGACTTATTTAATAAACTGCATTAAAATGAATTTGTGCACACTTTCCTTTTAAAAATACAACAAACCACCACTCCAAACAAAAAACTACAGCAAGACCAAATAAAAAACAAATCTGAAACAAGCCCAGCAATTTTGTCAAAAGGAAATGCCCAGAGCGGAGCAATAACCAGCTAAAAGAACAAAATCACCCTTTTCTCTGCCAACAACATCTTTGAGAACTGTAGTAAATATAAGAAATTTAAGTAAAATGTAGTATGGAAAAGTATTCTTCTTGGAATAAAAAAAAAAAAGTTAATTCCTTTGCTAAAGGCCAGGATGGCAAGTTGAATATGCCTTCCTTGGTTGTTAACCATTATTATCTTATCTTCCTCATTCCTTGTCCCCTAATGATGGTGTGAACTGAGGCTAAGCAGTCAGATTTAATATTGGCATTTCTTTTGGCAGCTTATTCTTTATTTGCAACCTTGATGCACATTCATATTTGTAGGTGCAAAATAAAAGACAAATTGTGTGATGTTATAAATAGGTAACTTTCCCGAATGGTCACTGGAGGAATCACCACAAGGCTGTTGATGAAGTAGAGGTGAAGCCCTTCCTCACTAATTGTATTCAGCGTGTAATTTCCAAACTTCCCTCTGAATTTTGATTTTCAATTAACACTCCTCATTTGAAGATAATTTTCTATTTAATGTAATTGCAGGAAATAATTTATTGGCTGATTAAGACCGAGGGCCCAGCCTTCCTTAAGAAAACACTCTAACAAACCAGCCTTGAAACTCAACTCATGGCTTTGGACAGATTTAGTCTATTTTTACAGCTGCATGGTTGTGTTTAATTAGGATTGTGCACTATTGTTCATTGGTGCAGTTTTGCAGTTGGAATTATTCTTAAGAGAGTTTTGTGTTCTGTGTCATGATTAATTTATACTAAAGCAACAATCACAGATAATGCTATTGGAAGCAGCCAAGACACTTTATAATAAGAGGATGTTTTTTGGGAAGCTAAAGTCCCTATGAGTTTTGGATTATGACTTTCAATTGTATTGAGCTGTTTTAAAAAGCAGCAGTAAAGTCATTCTTTTGTTTTTAATGTGAATGATTACATTATTGGTACTGTCATTATCTGAACTATGAAAACATTCTTGTTGTTTATGGCAGGCTCTTGATAAACTTGCAGGACAGTTATAATTTGCCTGGTTTTATGATAGTATTTATGAGGCCAATGAAGTAAGCTCAAGAGTGATTCATGTAGACTAAGAAATATCCTTTGGTATTATTTTTCCTAAGTGTATATACATAAGTCCTTTTGTTAGTATTTTTAGAAGTTGGTCAAGAATATACTTATCTGATTCTTTGATATAGTGCCTTTATAGCATTTTATTCTTCTCAAAGAAAATATAGACATTCTTCTGTACTTCCTTTCACCATTGTATTTTCTAGTATCAAGTCTAATAGGTGAAATTTTTATATTTGTAGAATTGTTATTATAAGTAGGTATCAGCATTTTAATATGTTTCAAAGCACTTCAAAAGCCTATAATACTCTTATTGAGAACCCTGCATAATTAGATTAGCCAATCTTAATTTTTTCACTGTAGGATACTAAATATGAGCCCCCTCATTAATTGTGAGAAATTTAGCATTAGCTGTTAAATCCTATGTGAAACATGGGCTGCTACATAAAAACTACTGTTTAAATTGGAATTAACTTAATTATTTTTCTTTGCACTTGATATTTCCTTCACTGCAATATTCATGAAAGCATGTGACACATTTGTAAATTTAACTGTTAATCTCAGATTTCTGGACCCTTTAATCAGTATTTATTTGTCTAGAAACAGTACTAGCAAGTTAATGATTTGCTAATTTGAAAAATGCTCATGTGGTTTCCTATGTTAACTGATTTGTGCATTTTAAAAAAAATGGTATGAAATCAATTAATGTTAAAAAGCAATTAAGGTAGAGATTTTATTCCTTTCGTTACACAGCAGTTTTAGAACTAATTATGCTATAAACCAAAAATGACATAAAGTTTTATAAAAGATGCTCAATTATCTTTTATTTTATTTTAAAAACTTTTGGCGGTTTTATTTCTAGACATTTTGCTACAAAAATCATCTTGATAAAGTGATATTATAAGAGTTTTGAATTCTGTTTAATAATAATGATTTTTCTGGCTGTATACAAAAGCACAGAATGGAGACCTTGTGCTGAATATAGTTTTCTTATATAGATGAATATTCAGTAATTGTTTGTAGAGTATTAAAATATTATGCATTGTAGGCATTTTACTATTATCATACTAAATGCTTTGAATCTGGTATATACTTTCTAATAAAAAATAGTAACATAGTTATTTCATAAGCTCAATTCAAATGTTATAAGACTACCTGGAGACTAATTTAACAGTATCAGCCATTTAATCAATATGTCACTTAAAAGCTAAATTACAGCAGTTGACACAGCTTAAAGGTCTTTAGAAAAGGGTCCCATTTGACACTAAACAGTGTTAGGCCTAGCACTCAAAGCAAGGTGTAAACTCAGAAATCAGGACCAAATTTGCCTAGACTTTCATCATAGACAACCTGCCTTCTTGAATTTATTTTCTTCTTTTGTTCCAATATAAAGCATAAGCAAAATTTGGATATATGTACTTCCAAATCATCTTCCATTTGCCAGTTCATTCATTCTTTTTTTTTGTGGTTTTTTTTTTTTTTTTTTTTTCATTGCTAGGCAAATCAACAAAATTACTCTCAAGAAGCTTCTAATCTAGTTGGGATAACTGGGGAGGAATTTACACACATACGTATACTACACATATTATGGAAACTTATTCCATAAACACTTTATTTATGGATTGGTAAGAGAGAAAATATGCAATCACCTGGAAGAATTTTGTGAGTTAAAATTAAAGAGAGTTCAGATAAGCTGAGAGTTCTTTTTTACTGGTTTAGAGTAGAGGGTAAACATCTCTAAAGTAAGAGAATTTTTCTTTTTTTTGAAATATTCAAATGTAAGGGATTTTTGTTTTCATGGACAGTCCTTTTGAATTCATGCTGTTTCCTTCTTCTGCAGAAGAATGTCTTCCAAGCAAGCCACCTCTCCATTTGCCTGTTCAGCTGATGGAGAGGAAGCGATGACCCAAGATTTGACCTCCAGGGAAAAGGAAGAGGGCAGTGATCAACATGTGGCCTCCCATCTGCCTCTGCACCCTATAATGCACAACAAACCTCACTCTGAGGAGCTACCAACACTTGTCAATACCATTCAACAAGATGCTGACTGGGACAACATTCTGTCGTCTCAGCAAAGAATGGTGAGCTTTTAAAATCTGGCCACTGTTGCTAAGTGTGTCCATTAGTATGGCCTCATTACAAACAGGTATTTTAGAGAAAGCTCAAAATACATATCATCATAGTATATTGTGTTCAGATCATAAAATAACCACCATATATATTATTAATATTACTCTAACTGGGGAAAATTGGAAAATGGTTTTTGATTTAGTTTTTATCCATTTTAGGTCACCTTGCAAAAAAATATTTAATTTGGGGGACAATTTGGTTGTCATATTTTCTGAACCTCTGAATTTAAGGTGATGAGGTTAATAATACCACAAAATAGGTATGATCGAATGAAGTGTGGCTGTGTATTAATATTAAAAAATTATATTAAACAAATATGTCTATGGGAATAAGATCATATGGAAAACACATCTTCAGTGAGTAAGTGCAGGTATTTATCATTTTACAGCAATTTTTGATTTATATTTAAGATTTTTCTCAATTAAATACCTATAGAATAATTTCAAAAAGATATAGCTTCTCAGTATCATTTCATCAGACTGTAGAAGTTTTCTGTAAAGGTAGAAGCAACAATATCAAATACATATAGTGTGTTAGCCAGATTTCTCATGTTAAATTCCATCATAGTCCATAGTAAGTGACATGAATTGTCTAACTTATAACAAATACACTTATTTTTTTAAGCATCTAGAACTGACCAAAATCTTAACATATTTTATTTGATTAAGAATTTTAAAATTTATTTTATATATCTTAACTTTTGGTTAAGTTAATGAAAAGTATTTTAAGTGGAGAGTTAAGAAAAGTTTTATTCCTTAATTAAAAATAAGATAATATTTAAAAATGCCTTTACTATTAATAACATATATTTAAATTCTTGCCCTATGCTTAATGTCTCAGAACCAATTTAATGATCTGCTTTTATAATATATGGATGCAGACATTTCTTTTTAGATGATTTTGTAGACATCGCTAGTGCTCTGGAGGTGAGATGTAGGGATTGGAAGAAAAACAAGACTTTTTCTAGACTAACTTTAGATAAGGGTATAATCATTTTATAATTAGATAGAATCACTTGAAGATTTATTTTCCTTGAATAGGGAGAACAGAAAAGGTATGATAAAGCAAGACTAAAAGTCTGTTTTTCTGCTTGAACTTGAGTGCTTCATTTCATACCTCCAAGATAGCATGGATGAAATAGATATCCAGTCACTGCCACTAGCTTTTTGGCAAGATATTAGGGCTAGGTTTTATTTTTGTTTCAACAAATATTTATATAATACCTTCTCTGAGTGCAGCATTCTACTGGGTGCTGGTGGACAAAATATACATGAATATGCCTTCATGGAATTTATATCCAGGAGAGAAAACAAAAATCCTATTTAATAAAGAGGGAATATGCAAATTGACCTTCACACCATTATAAAGATGGTGGCACCCATAGCCACAAGATGGTGGTGCCCAGCCCCCTCCGCCCTGCTGGAGTCCCCATTCCTATCAGCTCAGGTGTGGGGGGAGGAGAGTTGACAGGTGTGTGGTGTGGCCAGACCCTCCCTCAGCCCCCCAACCGCCTGGGGCCGGCCTGAGGCGCAGGCAGACCTCAGATGGTGGCTGCCCAACTAATGCCCAAGGCGAAGGCAAGCCTTGAATGGCGACTGCCTAGCTGAGGCCTGAGGCACAGGTAAGCCCTGGATGGCAGCTGCCCAGCCAATACTTGAGGGACAGGCAAGCCTTGAATGGTGGCTGCCTGGGGCTCAGGTAACCATGGCTCGCCAGGGCTTGCACTGCTGTCAGTGGCAGCAGCAGAGGTGTGATGGGCGCATTGCCTTCCCCTGATCACCAGGTCCTGGACTGTGAGAGGGGGCAGGCTGGGCTGAGGGATCCTGAGGGACCCCCTCCAGTACATGAATTTTCATGCACTGGGCCTCTAGTAAATATATAATTAAGGTTGTGATATGTGATATATGCACGTATGCATACACCATGGACATAGACAATACTGTGGGGAAAGCCTGGTGGCTCAGTGGCTGGATGGAAGGGATAAATGGGAATAAAATGGAGGACATCTGTAATACTGTCATCAATAAATTTTTAAAAATGTGATATATGTTAGGAAGGAAAATAACAATGCTAAATTAATGAAATAAACTTCATTTAGAATGGATAGATAGGAATGTCCTTGCTGACCTAAGGATAAGAGAAACTAGTCAGGCAGAGAATATGAGAAAGAGTAAAAATAGCAGAAGGAATAACATGTATGAAATATTTGAGATGAAAAAAAATATAGCTGAGCTTCAGGAAATTCAAGATAGTCTTTGTAGCTGGAGTGTAATAAGTAAGGATACAACATAGCATCAGATCTGGTTGGAGAGATTGGTAGGGGCTATAATGAAAAAGACCTTGTAAATAACATTGGAAGTGAGATTTGATTATAAGTGCAATGGAAAGGCATTGAAGGGTTTAAGAATAGTTCAAGCAGATAATTCTAGCTGTAGTATGAACGGATGGGAGGGAGACCTGTTGGGAGGCTATTTAAGAAATCCAGGTAAGAGATGATAGCTGCTTGGATTAGGCCAATGGGAAAGAGAGATATATTTTTTGCTTTTATGCTAAATATAGCTATGGACATATAAAAATAATTAAATTGGAATATATAGGTTGAATCAGAAATAATACAGTTCAAAATTTACTTTTTTAGAGAACACTTTGCTTATTTTTTTCAGTTAAATTTTGTGTATATCTTGGCAAGTGCCAAATTGCTTCAGCAAGTTATTCCCAAACTTTTATGATCTAAAATCTTGTTAGAAAATACCGTGTTTCCCCGAAAATAAGACATCCTCTGAAAATAAGACCTAGCTCAACTTTGGGAGAAAAAATTAATATAAGACACTGTCTTATTTTCAGGGAAACAGGGTAGGTATTAATAATGTGCTTAGCAAATTATATTAAGTAAAATTTATGGTAGTATAAAATAAAGTTTAAATTTACAAATATGTTACATGTTAGTCTAAAAGAAATCATCCTTGTTTTCAAACTTTCACTCTCTTGATATCAAGCTCTGATTTCCACCAAACCTTTTGTGTATTCTGAATTTCTGGAAGCCAAAATACTTTGTTTTAATTCCCACTCTATAGTATTTTCCAGCTGTGTATGTCTATGGTATAGTAAAAGGATTTAACAAATGGGAAATAGCAGCTGCATTTGGAAATCCCCTTTGTGCTTCCTTTTCATTCAATAGATTCAATACTGTGTTCTATGTAAGAACTGTAACATCAGACCTGTAATGACTTACATTGCAGGTATTATATTACCAAACAATTTTTTTATAGGAAAGAAAAACAATAGAAGGATTTTAGGTTTCTGGGTTTCTGGGCAGTCTTGCAAACCTACAGTTTGTGTGTGTGTGTGTGTGTGTGTGTGTGTGTGTGTGTGTGTGTGTGTGTGGTGTGTTGGAGTGTTGGTGTGGAGGGATTGTGACCAAAGTAAAATTTAGTCAATATTTTTTACCCCATTCTACTTTCAAGTAAATGTAAAGTCCAAAAGGATTGTTATGAAGTTAAATGAAACTTGTAGTTCTCTATGGATCATATCTGTTACTGACTGAAATTGAACCCCATAAAATAGGGGAAATAAAATTTAAAATAAAGTCTAAAAATCAACAAAAATCCTATTAGCACCTATTAGGTTTCCATTGCTATTTAGTTTCTGTTGATGGTCCTCACTCACGAACAGTTAGAAACAGGCACTCAAAAGTTTCTTATCTACTGGGTTCAGATGGCATTGAAATTGAAATATCAAGACCACAGAGGAGCTTTTCTGTAGAGGAGAGCAAAGACAAAGCAGAGAAGTTCTGCTAATCCCCACTTCCTGGTCAGAAACAAAATCTTTAAATGTTAAAATTCTGATTATTTATTTTGAGGTGGAATTATGTAAAATATGAGAGACCATGCAGTTTTAATGAAAGAAAATTTATGGCTTAAGTAAAGAAGGAAAATAGAACTTTTAGTGATTGGCATTCAAAGACCAACTTGAAATAAAAAAGTTTTAGATTCCACTGTTAATTACATTTACTTATATCATGGATACAAAAATGTTTAATTTTAAATTTAGAGTTCTGTGTTAATTGGTATGATCCATTTGAAGGCTAAAAGGTTAGTGTAAATGAGGTTTCGCTGTCCTTGGTTGCTATGTACAATTGCTACTCTTTTCATTATTGTGTAAGTGTACACAATAATGTAGATGAATATTGACTGTCCCCTAAAATGTTTTGGTTTCCATTAGGACTGATTCGTTAGGCAAGAATAAATTCACATACTTTTTTATGAAAACATATATAGTGTATTATTCTTTTTAATATTAACAAACATGGAGGAACATATTTTGGTAGTGTTTAGTGACTGGCATGTGATATTGTGCTATAATGATTATCTGCTAAAGATTTCTTGAGAATGTAGGACCTACTAAGTTCCAGAGGCAGGGATTTCCTTGTGAATTATACAGATGAGTTCTCTACTATCATGGAAATTAGATTCTAGGAGTGGGGCAAAGTTCCACAGAGTGAGACAATTTCAGACAATAATAGGTACAATGAAGAACATTAAATAAGAAAATGCGATCTAGATTACCTCTTTTAACAGTCCAGGGAAGGTCTTTTTGAAGAGGTAACATGTGAGTTGAGATGGGAACAATGAGAAGGAACTAGCTATGTAAACATTTGGAGTAAGTGCAAGAGCTGCTTGGTGGTGTGTTTGAGATACAGAATACAACAGAGTAGCTGGAGTGGAAAGGGTGAGGGAGAGAATAGTATGAGAGAAAATCAAGGAGGCAGGCAGGCAGATGGCAGATACTATGGGGTATCATATTCTGCAGTGAGGTATTTGAACTTTATACTTCAAGTGCAAGAGGAAGCCACTGGAAGGTCTTAAGTGAGACTAACATGATTTGATTTATGTTTTTAAAATATCATATTGGCTGCTGTGTAGAGAATGGATTGTAGGAGGCAACACCAGAA